GGGTTCAGGGTTTGGGGTTTGCGGTTTAGGGTGGTGTGGGTTGTTTCAGACAGAGAACCAACAGGAAAAAGGGTGCCCTTGTTATAATGCGTCATGCCGAGTTTCAGGATTTCAGAGATCCATGTGTCATGTAGGGCCTACGTTGGGCCTACATAACTCCAACGGAAATTTTGAGAGGCAGAGCGATACAAATTACTCTTTTGACCCTTGTTTGACCTTATCGGATGCGTGTGGAGCCTTTGGAAAGCCCCTTATGGAGCCTCGGAAGAACTCGTTGGCTTCTTCTCGTGGGCTCGAGAAGAAACCACGAATCTGCGGAACCTTTAAATCGTCAGCCCTAAACCCAAAACCCTAAGCCCTAAACCCTACAGAAGGCCATTGCACGCCGGCAAGCCATAGGAAGCAGCAAGCTGGAGAAAGCATCTGCGCGACCGGACGCAGAAACTGGGCTTCTGCACCCCGAAGCTTTGAGCAACCCTGAACCCCAAAACCCTAAAGCCTCAAACAGGCTGGCCTTTTAAGCTCCGGTCTGTCATGTGAGGCCGAGACAGTGAAAAAACAAACCTAAGCTCTTCGTGAACAGGCGCAAAACTCTTCGCGAGCAGGCGCAAGAAGCTTCAACCCTAGACCCCTAGGCCCTAAACCCTTATAGCAACGCTCATGGTAATCTTTGAAGAACCCTCGAAAGAATTTCTACTCATGCGGGGGGCGTTTGGTAGGAGGAGCTGCCAGAGGGCACGAAACCCCTGGCCACGGCTTCTCGGCTTGCTCTCGAGTTTGGAGGAAGGTTTCGGGTTCGACATGTTTTCCGGCTTGGTGTTTTGGGTTTTAGGCTTGTGTGTGGATTCAGGTACGTACATGTACATGTACATGTACATACATACATACATACATACATACATACATACATACATATGTACATACATATGTACACATACTTATATATATATATATATATCTATATATATGTACACCGTATACATATATATATATATATATGTATATATTTATATATATATATATGTGTATATATATACACACATATGTGTAGAAATGTACACACACACACATGTAAAGATGGGTATGTTCACACGCGTTTGCACAACTACACACATAGTCACATACATATCGGCATGTATATTTGTTATATATCTGTTTATTTATTTACTTGTTTTTCCAGTTCAGTGCGTGTAGGCATGCACACACACACACACACATATATATATATATATATGTATATATATATATATATACATACATACATATCCCGGCTGCAGCTGGCATTGTGAGTGCATACACCCGCCCCATACTACCCCGAGACGATGAGTGAAGTGCAAACGCTACTGTTCTTGTGGTTTTGTGGAGGCGTAGGATTGCTTGGTGGGGTTGCAAAGTGATGCTCCGAAGTCGTTGGTTCATGCAGGCGGCGTTTGCACAAACGGCATGAAACAGAAGGATTTTCTGCCCGGTTGTTCAAGAGGTATACTGCACTATCTTGTAGTCACATTGGGTGGTTGTCAAAATTAGGGTCCCTTTTTGGGTACCCGAAATATTAGGTGCCGTATTATATTA